ACATGAGGAAGGGGTTTTAGTCAACAACATTACAATGACAATATTAGGAGGAATGTTTGGAACTAGTTTGTTTTTAAACCAACTTTAATAAAATAAAAAAAAAAATCAGCTGTGGTATCTTCATTGTAATCCAGAGAAGAATCTTTAATATTTTTCGCAGCCAGAGAAATTCCATTTCAAATCCAACCATCTTTAGAGCCAGCATGCAAAGTAGTTATCCTTTTACGTCTTTTTGAGGGCGCGTTCGTTTTACACTTATCAGTTGAGTCAACCCAAGCCTTTTCCGGGGTATCATAAGTATCGAACCAGGTTTCATCCAAGTAAATAATTGGCCTTTGTTATTCTCTGTAAATCCTATTTTTTTCTAGATATTCCAGTCGCCATTTCCGAATTCTAAAAGATTCCATTAAAACTTGCCTTTTGTCAATTTTTAAAAATCTAAAACCCATGTGTTGAATACACTTCCATAAGGTAGTTCTGCACATTTAACACCGGTTTCATCTTTTTGAAGCCTCCTAATTAAGATATCTAATGTAGGCAAGCTTTGTTCCTCGTATAACTGGTAAATTTTGCGCCGTATTATATCTTGATCACTTTCTTCCACACTCGAGAAAATGTCAGCATCGCTTCTTTTTTTCCTCGCTGAAATGGGATTATTCACAATTTTCCATACAGTTGATGTTGGAATTTTCGTCAATGTGGCCGTTTCTTCTAAAGATGCGCTTGCTTGCTGGCACCACGTTCCTCCTTAATTATTTCATATATTTTTTTTTTCACGTTTTTTTATTTGTCTCAATCTGTTCATCAAATAAATAATTTTTCAACTTATTTTTTGATTTATTTATATAGTATTTTGTATTCATTTTCTAGTTCGGCAGAACAGTTTACACAAAGTTTCTTTTTTGATTCTGTCCTATGCTTAATTGAATTTATTAACTCAACTGTAATCCATTTTTGAATTTTCTTTATCCCACTCTCAGACTTGTAATTTTTTTCCTCAGGCATGAGCATTATGTTAATAAAATTGGAGGTAACTATCTCAGGGTCGTTTTCATTAATGACTTGCGACCAATCCTGAGTAGCAGCAATATAAGTTATAAGTTATTAAGAGCATTATAAGTTAATAAGTTATTTTGATATTTTTACCAGTTCTAGTGATAAGATATCCGATAGATCTATGAGATGGAAAATGATTTTTTTTTTCATTCCTGGATGTTCAATTGGATGCGAAGATGCAAAAAACGACGAAATTCGCAGGTAACACCCGATCGGCGTCAATACGAATCGTCATCTGTCTCGACCTACAGGGCCGTACGTACCGAGACTGTTCTCACCTTTTTCCCTTGTAAGACAATGACCTTCGTGCATTGTTGTCATCCGAAAAAGAAACAACAAACGCAGCGTGTGTCCAACAAAACCGCTACCAACTGTCGGAGTTAATCCCCCCAGATTATAAAAGACCTAATTCCCTCATTGTAGTCACTTAAACGTCATCGTTTAGTCAACGTCAAACTAGACAATCGCCGAATTAACGGTTAAGGTAATTACGCGTCTGGCTTTACCTAGAGCGAAGGTGATAAAGAGGTGCTTTAGGGCGCATGGGCTCTTTTCCACGCTCTATATTGTAGCCGTGCACTTTTTAGTAGTAATCGGAAAATGGCTACCGAACGAACATTCTTTTAAAATAATTAATCAATTAATATATATTTAAAACTATGAGAAATACATATTATTACTTAATATTATTGAGAAAAATGTATCACAAACCACGAGCATATAAATCCGATCAGAGAATATTGACGACATCAAGGATAGAATAAGAATACCAAAACAAGGTAGAAATGGAAAAATTTAATGAAAAAAATAGTGACTTTTAATAGAAACAACAAAAAAGACCACCCCAAATCACAGTTCAGATACGGATAATTTGTTTTCTAACACAAATTAAAAGCAAAGGCTAACAAAATTATTTATCAACAGTTAAACAAGCTCGAAGTATTGTTAGAAACTTGAAATTTTGGGTAGTTCGGGAAAAGCCAAAAATTAAAGGTTTGTTATTATTTTTTCACTTGTTTTGCAAAATTTCGTAAAAAGTTTGTGAATTTACATTTACTTATAAAATTTCTTTGAACTATTTATTAGAAATATTATCTTTTTCAAAAAAATTCAGAATTAACAAAATTTTTTAGGGAATTTTGGAAAAAGTTTGCAAATTGGCACTTTTTACAAAACAAATGAGAACTAAAAGTTCAAATTTTCACGAAATTATATATTATGACATGACAGTTGTTTCGACAACACCGTCTCTTTATCAAATGTAATATTTACAAACTACCTGCTACTATATATACCGAAAAATGACCATAAAACGTTAATTAATGTTGTTGCGAGAATTTAAGTTCAAAAAAGGAGAGGTATTTAAATCTAATTGATCGTTAAGCAATATATTTGAATGTCTCATTTTGTTAATCTCCATGGCTTCCAATTAATTTAATTTTCTACTTTTTGTAGCTGTATGTAAAATATCAAAATTCTCTTCACAAATGTGTTTTTCTGTGCTTAAGTGTGTAGCATAATTGGAATCTAGACTATTGTTTTTAAACGCTCTTATATGTTCGTTAATGCGTCTCTTGAAGGATCTACCTGTTTGTCCAATATACATTTTAAGACAAGATCCACATTTCAACCTGTAGACACCTGATTTTTGGGATTTTGGACATTTCGATTTATTGTTTTTTAAATATTTTCCTATTGTGTTGTTAGTTCTGAAAGCTATTTTTAAACCACATTTTGACAAATGTTTTGAAACTTTTTCGCTAGGTTCTCCTATGTATGTAATTGTTTTAAATTGTTTAAATAGAGTTTACTGTTGTCTGTATTTTTTTTTATTTATAATTTTATCTATAATGGACGGATTGTAACCGTGGTTCAGTGCTATTTGTTTAATGATATTAAGTTCTTTGTTGTAATTTCCTGTTGAGAGTGGCGTATTAAGAAGTCTGTGTATAAAAGAGTTAAATGCAGCCATTTTGTGTGTATAAGGGTGATTTGAGCTGTTATGTATGGCTGTGTTACAAAAAGAGCTCACAAGAATTAAAAAAAAAATTAAGCAAAATTTGAGGTTTTCCGCGATATTCAAATTTAAATCCATACTTTTGCCTACTTCTAATTTATTTTTATTGAATTTGGTAAAAAAGTGTAAGTTTTGGTTCGTTTTGAACTCTGCATAGTCTGTGAATTCTCTTTTTCGCGAAGAACATAAATTTAACCTACTTTTTTTACATAATTTCGTAAAAAAAAATTAAGTCCTGGCCATTCTATAAAAAAAGTGAGCATTTTTTTAAGGATTAATTTTACAAAAAGTTTTTACCCAATACATAATTTTAAAAATTCCAAATCTTAGCAATTCTTGAGAAATAGTGGATCTACCAACTTTCCACGAAATTCATACATTTTTATAAATTTTGCTAAGCTTTAAATTTAACAATTTTTTTACAACATTTCTATTGAAATTTCGTATTAAAAAAAAAGAGATCTTAGTTTTTCTTCAAAAAAGTGTAAACGTCGTAAAAAGTTTGTGACTTGTTAAAGGAAATTTCTTTAAAAAAGGAAATTAAGAAATTCATACTTTTTTCTACAAAATTTCGCGAAATTTTTGTATGTTTTGGTTAGTGTTGTAAGAGAAGTGTTAATTTTGTATATCAATAGTTTATAAATTGGCATTTTTCGTACAAAAAAATGACATCTTTCTCACGAAATTCGTCAAAAACCTGTGAATTTCACTCCTTTTTAATTATTTATTTGTTTAAAGAAGTCATGAAGCTCAACTAACAGGCGAGTTGTAGTACAAAGTATTAAGTAGTTACAGAGGCATTGCAAGTAATGATAATATGACAAAACTTGACCTAAAATCTACCCTAATACAAAACATTAACTCTAATCAAAAAACAAGAGAATGGGAACCGACTCAAATTAATAATTATAGTCAATGGGGAAATAGCGTTTTTACCTTAGCAATAGTTTACAAAAAAAATTTCAAATCGCCTCGAGCATTGTACTTGGAACACATTGAGAAAATAATAAATTTTAAAATATTAGTTATTGCTGTGGGCCGAAAGAATGTGTTACCATGTCTGGAGTTAATACGGGGAACTAGAAAAATTAGCCCATATAATAGATGAGAGCATTCTAAAAATTTATTTTAAATTTTAAATAAAGTCATTAAATAATGGTAATCATGGCGATCACTAAGAGACCAATAAACAAATCTATTTAACAATATTGTACGAGAAAAGCCTTGTGGGGATATATTCGGTCCAACTTATACCATACATACTTACGCTGATTGTTTTCCGGGCTATTAATATGACAATTGTACCCAGGAGACCAAACAACTGATGCATACTCTAATTTAGGCTTCTGTAATTGTAAGAGACTCAATGTTTCCTAGACTTCCTTTTAGAAGCCGCGTGTGGAATAATAGTATACAAGTTCATCGAAATAAATTCTTAATTTAAAATTTGATCACAAACAAAACAAAACTACGGATAAACCCTCGAATTATAAAATAAACGGCCTACCTTATGTGCACTCTAGTGTAAGACCCACGAGGCCTCTCGGATTTTCTTTCTCCACACCATGTCCATTGCAGCAATGTAGTGGGGGTTACCAATCGCAAACACGCGAAAACTATGCGCGGTAATTCGGCCAAACAAAACCCGAGGGCTCATATTATCGCGGTGAAATGACACGCGTTTTTTAGCATAAAGTATATAAAAAATTAAATTAAAATAAAATTGATAAATGTATTCGATTAACCCCGAATCATAAAGAAATCAATATAGAAAACCCAGGTAATGAATTAATATTTAGTGTCAGTATACAAAATAAATAACCAAAACTGAACATACCGCCCACCAAATACAACGGTATTTCAAAAAACAACAAAAAAAAAAAGAAAATAAACAAAATATGCTAATATTAAAGTTTATCAATTGTGATTAATTGGCCGGCAGAGGACATACCTTAATAACCGGTCGTTTGATTAAACCGTTTTGGGTTCTGACAGTGACTACTCGTGGAACACCGTCAGCACCAGGGTGAATGGAATTAATCCGTCCCAGTCTCCACTGGAGGGGAGGTAAATTATCCTCCTTCAGTACAACTAGAGTGCCCGGCGTGATAAGAGTGGTATCTTTATCCCATTTAGCTCTCTGTTGTAAAGAATGAAGATATTCCATATGCCATCTTTTCCAAAATGATTGATGCATTTTGGTCAGTAACTGCCACCTATCAAGTCTATTCATAGGAACACAAGTGAGGTCGTGATCGGGAATAGCTGATAAAGGAGCTAAGGAGAGAAAATGACCTGGTGTTAAACTGGATAGATCGTTGGGATCACTACTCATAGCGCAAAGTGGTCTAGAGTTGAGTACGGCCTCAACTTGAGTGAGAACTGTGTAAAATTCTTCATAGGTAAGTAATTGTTCCCCTATGATTTTAGTAATGTGGGTTTTGACGCTTTTAATGCCAGCTTCGTGTAACCCACCAAAGTGAGGCGCTGAAGGAGGGAAAAATTGCCACTCGATCAATTCCTCAGCGGCTGCTTTAGCCATGCAATCTGCTAAGTATCGAGCTGCACCAACGTAGTTGGTACCGTTATCACTGTGCAGTTTGGAGCATCTACCACGTCGACTGATGAAGCGACGCAATGACGCAAGAAAGGCAGAAGTGGATAGGTCTGATACCAGTTCCAAATGCAGGCACTTTGTAGAACAACACACAAAGAGAGATAGATAAGCCTTTTGAGTACGGCAACCTTTATGTCTTGACATCAGTATCTGAAAAAGGCCACCGAAATCCAAAAAAGTACATTGAAAGGGCTTGGCTTGGGTAATGCGGAAACTAGGCAAATCGCCCATTTTTGGTTCTATTACCTGAGGATGTGTTCGAAAGCAGCGGAAACACTTATGGACAATACGTTTTATAGCTCCTTTAGCACCCAAAATCCAAAACCGTTGAGATATAAAATAGCGCAAGGCCTGCTGTCCACAGTGAAGGTATCTTTTATGAAAATCCTCTATTATAAGATCAGTCAACCTATGTTTGTTGGGAAGCAAAACGGGATGCTTCTGATCGTAATCAAGTTGAGAGTGAGTAAGGCGTCCGCCTACCCTGAGAAGTCCTTGTTCATCGATGAAAGGAGCAAGCTTTCTTAACGGCTTGGAACAAACACTCTTGTTCGAAAGATTGGAAATGTCTTCATAAAAGGCTTCTGCTTGTACTTGCTTCACAATGCGGAGAAGACTCTGAAATAACTCGTACTCCGTGAAAGGACCCTTTTTAACCACTGAAACCACTTTAAAACGAATGCCAAGAAAACGACGCCAATAAGTAATAAGGCGAAGTATTTTCTGTAAGCACGAATACCTATTCAAAATATCACCAACAGGATTATAGCCTTTTATTACCGTGAGAATGGTCGCTCTTTCTTCTGGTAGTGGTTCGTCCAATTCACCAAGTTCGTGTTTGGGCCACTCTTCGGAGGGACGCGACAACCAAGCTGGTCCCGCCCACCATAAGGGACAGTCAACTAAATCAGACGGAAGGACAGGGCGACTCGCAAGGTCAGCTGGATTGTCTTCTGATTTGATGTGAAACCAACGTTCAGGTGCTACATTGTCTTGAATCTGACTCACCCTGTTTGAGACGAAAGTGCGCCAACGACAGGGCGGTGACCTTATCCAACCTAGGACTATAGTCGAGTCAGACCAAGCATAAATATTTTGTACGTCGGGAATGTTGTAGACATTTAAGGCATATTTAAGCAATTTGGAAGCCATTAATGCAGCACTTAATTCCAATTTAGGAAGACTCAATCTCTTCAATGGAGATACTTTACTCTTAGCATAGAGGAGATAAGTAGAAATTTGGCCATCTGGAGACACGAGGCGAGAATAGATACAACTTCCATAACCTAGCTCTGAAGCATCCCCAAAAGCATGGAATTCTAAACTAACATACTTTGAAATAAAACAATAACGGGGTATTTCTAATGCTGACAGACTTGGCAATTCATTTTTGTAGTCGGTCCACCTTTGGGCAATATCTGCGGGCACTTCACTGTCCCAGTCGATACCTCTCGCCCATAAAGATTGCATTAGCTGCTTAACTAATAGAGTTATGGGACAAAGTAATCCAATTGGATCAAAAATTCTGGAGATTTCAGAAAGTATAGATCTCTTAGTACATGTCGAGTTGAGAAATTGTATGTCGTATGAGAAGATATCCTTCTCTGGAGACCATCTGAGACCCAAAACCTTCAAGTAAGGATCGGATTTAGTGTCAAGTGCGAGAGGTTTCTGTAGAATATCTGAAGGTATAGTAGCTAAGAAGTCAACACAATTGCTAGACCATTTTCTAAGGAAAAAACAACCCTCATCCAATAGAGCAATAAGTTGTTGTTTGATATCCACAGCATCCTCTAAAGATTTACAAGATACACATATATCATCAACATACACTTGGGACGCTAAAATTGCTGCGGCCCTAGGAAATCTATCTCTACCCTCGGTGGCTAATTGTAAAAGACATCTCAGAGCAAGGAAAGGAGCTGAATTTAATCCGTAGGTTACGGTTTTTAGGCAAAAATCTTGAACAGGTTCTCGAGGGGAGAATCTCCATAAAATACGTTGGTAGTCTTGGTGGCTGTCATTAACAAGTATTTGTCGATACATCATTTTGATATCGGCAGTAAATGCTACAGGAAACCTTCGAAAACTTAACAGAATACTTACAATTTCATTTTGTAGTTTGGGACCAATCAACAAAGTGTCATTCAACGATCGATCCCGCGGACTGCAAGATGCGTCAAAGACTACGCGCAATGCAGTAGTCGTACTATTCGAATTAGTAACCCCATGGTGAGGGATGTAGAAGTGGCGCTGGGCAACGTCAGAGACAGGAGCAGACACGGGTTCCATATGATCCAGCTGTAAGTATTCCTTCATAAATTTGGAATATATCTCAAATAATGGAGGATCCTTAAGAAGACGGCGCTCTAAGCTATAAAACCTTTTTAGGGCTATGGAGCGTGAGTCAGAAAATAATGGCTCACCACTGGAAAACGGTAGAGTAACGATAAAACGTCCTTCAGGAGTTCGAGAATGAGTCTCGTTAAAAGAAATTTCAGCGGGATCGTCAAGGGTTAATGAAGACTTGCTACTTGGAACTTCCTCCATTTCCCAAAACATTTGAAGAGTTTTATTAATATCCCGGTTTTCTTCCAATAGTGTGCAACAGGAATATGAGGACTTGCTTTTTATACGATCAATTTTACCCATCACCCAGCCAAATAATGTATTGAATGCGACAGGTTCCAACTCTTTACCGCACACCTTCTCAGGCAACAAAATTAAAGGGAATAACTCGCACCCGATGAGAGCATCTATAGGTCCAGGAGTATTGTAGGTGTCATCAGAAACGACTAAATTCTCCAAATGTGACCAGTTCTCGCGACTGAAAGATACAGAAGGCATGTAGGAGCAAATCTGCGGTAAAACGATACATTCTATGGGAAAAGAAGGTGTGTTCTTACCCACCGGGCGGACCGTACAACAAGTAACACCATTCGACGATACAGATGTCATATTACCTAACCCATTAATTGGAATGTTCAAACGAGAGCGGGAAAGTCCTAATTTCTTAAAGCATCTTTCGGATATAAAATTGCCTTGGCTTCCACTGTCCAGTAGTATTCTAACTGTGTGGGAATAACCTTGGCTGTCCAGAAAGTCCACTTTTGCAGTCGCAAGGAGGGTAAATGCACTATTAGAATTTATGGAAGTGGTGCCACAATGTGGTTGATCTACGGAAGAGTCATTAGCACTGGGCAAAACATCGTCATTAGGTGGACTACGTTCATTACCATGTGCCGACTCGAAATGTAGTAAAGAATGATGGCGTTTCGTACAAGAAGAACAGGTCTTATTAGAACTGCATTTCGAAAATTTGTGAAACGAACTCAAACAATTCACACACAAACGGTTGCGTTTAACTAGTAAATAGCGCTCATGAGGAGTCTTACTTAAAAAGACGGAGCAGTTTATAATGGAATGCTGGGTCCTACAGATACCACAATTCAATGTAGGAACGTTATTAGAAGGAGTATTAGCAAAAAATGCTTTGGAATGATCACCATTATTCCTAGAACCTGACTTATGTTGACGGTTACTGGCAAAAGACTTACTATTATAAATGGTTCCGGCATTTTTTGATTTATTTTCTTCTTGAGTATAGGTCAACGTATCTAAAACCTTACAGCTGTTATTCAGAAATAATTTCAACTGCGCAAAAGTGGGTATATCAAATTTTGCGTGCTCCATTTCAAATCGCTGTAAGGTATCAGAATCGATTTTCATTAAGAGTAAATTAAAAAGCAAAAAATCCCATTCCGCAGTAGGAAAGTTCAATAATTTTAATGCCTCCACATTTTCACAAAACTTATCCACAACATTACGCAGTGCTTGATTCGATGGATTTGAAATTTTGGAAATGTTCATTATTTCATTGAAGTAATGAGTCGATAAAAGCCGTTTATTGTCGTATCTTTTTATTAAAGTATCGTAGGCTACTGCGTAATTGTCATCAGTTATAGGAATATTTCTCAATAAACTGAGCGGTTCTCCGGTTACGAGAGTAAGCAGTAATTGAAATTTTTGTGAAGCGGAAAAGTTCATATTATGCACCGAACTCCTGTATAAATCAAAAAATGTCGGCCACTGTTTTAAATTGCCTGAGAAAACAGGTATATCTAAACGGGGAAGATTAAAATTTAGGTAAGGCGGCAAATTATGGCTCTGGCCTGGTGGCGAAGGTGGTACCATCATGGATATTTCAGATTTTATACAAAGTTCACTATAAATGCTTTTAATTGAAAAGTATTGATCATCAACTTCCGCTCGAATTAGCTCCTGCTGCTCAAGCATTACATCCGTTACTCTTTTATCAGAAATCGTAGATTTCTTTCAATCTTTGTATAAAAACGCTTCTTCTATTTACTTTTGAATCTGCCATGGTTTAAAAATATTTTTAGAAATTTTCTATATCATAAAAAAATGGCAAGAAAGAAGAAATTAAATTCAATTATATTAAAATATGCGAACAACCTCGTAAAATCCACCAAAACCACAATTGATAACCAAAAACAATCAAAATATCGTACACAAAATCAAGACCGCAAAAAACTCTAAATGATTTAAATTCTTTACCTGTTTTCCGATACTTCGTCAAATTTATTCAAGGTCGTCTTATTTAAACGCCTTTATAGTGAATGAAATCAAAATTATTTTTACCAATTTAGTATTAGAAAATGAATTTAGAAAAGACAAAATAATTTTATTTTTGAATTACTGATTCTTTAAAAATCCGGGCTCGAAGACCATATGTAAGAGACTCAATGTTTCCTAGACTTCCTTTTAGAAGCCGCGTGTGGAATAATAGTATACAAGTTCATCGAAATAAATTCTTAATTTAAAATTTGATCACAAACAAAACAAAACTACGGATAAACCCTCGAATTATAAAATAAACGGCCTACCTTATGTGCACTCTAGTGTAAGACCCACGAGGCCTCTCGGATTTTCTTTCTCCACACCATGTCCATTGCAGCAATGTAGTGGGGGTTACCAATCGCAAACACGCGAAAACTATGCGCGGTAATTCGGCCAAACAAAACCCGAGGGCTCATATTATCGCGGTGAAATGACACGCGTTTTTTACCATAAAGTATATAAAAAATTAAATTAAAATAAAAATTGATAAATGTATTCGATTAACCCCGAATCATAAAGAAATCAATATAGAAAACCCAGGTAATGAATTAATATTTAGTGTCAGTATACAAAATAAATAACCAAAACTGAACAGTAATTTTAAAGTATCTGGTGCAACATACGATAAAGCCATAGCTTTTTGAGGCTTACCTTATTAACATGGCAATTACAATGGCTAGGTTGCCAGTCGACCTAAATTGATTTTTTATATTATTTTTCTAATCGACTCGATTGAAATTTGGTTTAAAATAATTTAACCCTGTCGGATTAACAACAAATATAGCATAGACAACGGACGATGCTCATCCGGATTCTACGAAAGCGGGTCGAACGCCTTCGATAACAAACTTCGACGGCCACAAGTGATCCACAAACCTCCAGATTCTAATCTCGAACCGTATCGTTCGGGGAAACAAGAAGCCCAAACGTTTCGGACCGAATAATCACCGAACCCATGCGGTTTTGTCACAAAATTAAAATAACAATGCGGCCATAAATATCCGTGGGCTCCGTTTCCTATGATGACTTTATTCCCGTTTTCCCAAGTGATTTACGGTTACGTTACGCGGGTAACGTTTCCATTGTATTGCGGAGACGCTCCGCAACCCTTGCCCGGTGACAAGTGTTGTAAATTTGTCCGACTGTGACAAGTTGCGGTCAAAACTCCCGTAGTGGGCGGCACTTGCTTCGAGAACGGTACTAATCTGTTTTAACTGGGTATTGTTGTGCGCAGATTGAAAAAGCGGCAGTAAATTTTTGCGACCACATTTGGCATGCCGACAAAATGCGGAGTTAATTGTACGATTTCGGTGCGTTATGCGTACAGGGTTTCATACACGGTTTTTAGATTCGTTCACTTTACCAGAAGACCCGAGACACCTCTATTGTCTCTACCACAACTCCTTCTCCAGTGCTCCATTTTTGTTGCCCGCAATGTTTTCTTGTTTTTTCCGATCAAACACGTGTAGTTTGCTGGAGACAGGCTCTACACCATGAACGACAACGGTCTCCATAATCCTTTTGTGTATAAGTCGTTTCACTATTTTGGAAATGGTTTGGTTGAATATCTTCTTTGCAATCACCTGTGTCGTTTATTATCGCTCCAAATAATTATATATTTTTTATTGTTGTCACCCCTTTCCTTTCCTATCTAGGTCTCCACCTTGTCCACCTTCAGCCAGATATTCTTCGTGAAGGTTCTGAAGCATATTCTCTGCATCCTTTTTGTCATTTCTCTAATGTTTCTTGAAGTAGGGTTGATATTTCAGTCTTCAGATGATGTCATGAGTTGTGCTTCTTCTTCATATTAGGTGCACTTTATTTGGTCATTTGCGAACTCAATGTAGAATACATATCATTTGCTGTAAGCCTGCTTCGCTCTCCATACGTTTAGCACTTCAAGTGTTTTGATATGGGTGCCAGGCTCCTGTAATTTCTAAGGTAAATGTAATATCAAAAAATACTATGCTAACTGGACACCAAAAATCTATTTTATAAATTGTTAGTAGAGAAAATAATGCTTGAATTAAGTAGGCTTAGACTGCATATTTTTTGACAGATTCGTTTGGCACATTTTTTATAGTTATGATTGGAACAAGTAATAACGATTTGAAAGCTTTCAAAATTAATATGCAATATAATATGTCAGCCACATACAGGGTTAATTTTGAAAGATAGACGATGCCAGAAAAAACAAGCGACTATCGCAAGCTGTCAAAATGAGAGCAACATTAATTTTTTAAATATATATTATTTGCTTAAATCGAAGATCTTATTTACCTGATTTCAAAAAGGTATGGTTTATTGATAGCCGTTTTTGAGATATTTCAGTTTAAAAATATATCATTCGATTTCTGAACAATAGCCATATTGTTTAAAAATGGTCAAGTCTGCCTTGATAGCAACCATATTATACAATGTTCCACTTTTGACAACTAATCAAAGCTAAAGATCTACAGCGTAAGTTAAATAACTGAAGATATTTCAAATAGGCTATACTGAGGAGGAAAAACGCCAAATAAAAAAAATATATTATTCGAACGGACATAATCTTGCAAGGGTTAAAAGCGAATATCGACAAATATATCCGGGTAAAAGAGTTCTTCCCATAAATACAATTAAAAATGTAATGAAACAACTTGACGTCAGAAATTGTGTCACACGGAAGACCACGACAATGGAAAGAAATTTTGATGAAGACCTCAATATATTACTTTACTTTCAAGGTAAATTATTATACATTCTTAATTTTTATATTTCATATTTTTTAGAAAATTCTGAATATTCTATGCCTGAGTTAAAAAATTATCCGGAAAGTATTGTAGTAAAATTCAACGAACGCTAAAACATCACAAGTTTTACCGGTATAAGATCCTTCCAGTACAAAGTGTAACCGATGAACATAAAAGGCAGAGGCTGGAATTTATATAGATATATTTATATACGGATGAGGTGTGTTTAATAGGAATAATAAACATTTTTGGTTCAAAGATAATCCACACAAAATGCAGGCAGTGAATATCCAAGAACGGATGTCAGTTAATGTATATTGTGGTATGTAGAACAATATGATTGTCGGACCAATTATATACCAAGAATCCTGAAATGTCCTTGCACAGAAATAACTGGTGTTTTTTTTTCGATGTATAGAACTTTAATTTGGCATTACTGTTTAAGATGGCGACCGATTTAATAGCTGTCAAGTGGTTTATTCTCAGTTTGATTTGGCAATTCATCGTGAATAGACTCGCGCCTGAACAACGCATCCAAATAGTGCAATTTTATTTCGAAAATAATGGTTTTGTGCGGAATACGCATCGCGCACTACATACATTTTATCGTCGACAAAATCGTCCATCAGAGCAGTTAATTCGATTAATCATGGAAACGTTTTCGCACCACGTTTACTCTTATTGATAACCCGCATCCCCAGAGACGCCGTACAGTGCGTACAGAAGAAGCTATTGCTGCTGTAGAGCGTAGCATTGAGGAAGACCCGAATGAGTCCATCCGCCATCGAGCACAGGAATTGGATCTGTGTCCATCCACTTTCTGGAAGATTTTGCGGAAGGATCTTGGTTTACTTGCTTACAAAACCCAACTCGTGCAAGAATTGAAGCCAAACGATCATCAAGTAAGGCGTAGATTCGTCGAATGGGCCCAAAACGAGTTGCCGTTGTTCCCGATTTTCATAAGCGAATTTTGTTTAACGATGAAGCGCACTTTTGGTTGAATGGCTACGTCAACTAAGAAAACTGCCGCATTTGGAGCGAAGCCAATTCTCAAGTGTATGTCGAAACAGCGTTACATTCAGAAAAACTGACTGTTTGCTGCGCTTTATGGGCTGGTGGAATCATTGGTCCGTACTTCTTCAAAAACGATGATGGCCAGAACGTTACAGTCAATGGTAATCGGTATAGAGCTATGATTACTAACTATTTCGTTCCTGAATTGATTAACCATGATGTCCAGGAGATGTCGTTTCAACAAAACGGCGCAACATGTCACACAGCTCGTGCCACAATTGATTTATTGAAAGACACGTTTGGTGACCGCCTAATTTCACGTGTTGGACCTATGAATTGGCCTTCAAGATCTTGTGATTTAACGCCGCTAGACTACTTTCTGTGGGGCTATGTAAAGTCATTGGTCTATGCGGATAAGCCACAAACGCTTGACCATTTGGAAGACAACATTCGCCGTGTTATTGCCGATATACGGCCACAAATGTTGGAAAAAGTCATCGAAAATTGGACGTCCAGATTGGAGTACATCCGCACCAGCCGTGGCGATCATTTTAAAATGTATGCATGTATTTAAAATGTATGTATGTATGTATGTATTGGTATTGGTATTGGTATTAAAGGGGGGCGCCCTCGCGGGCGTCCAAGCACTTAGGCCACCAGATGGGCCCGTTGTGCCCCCAGGCCGCTCTAGAGGGCGTCCAGAATGCCGCCCCTCCTGTAGAAGGTCAGCAACTCCTTTAGCCCAATACCGTGCACTGAGTCCGGATCGATCAGGGCCGTTCCGAAGACTCCCAAACTTGCCCATGTCAAGGCAGGGCACTCGGTGAGCAGATGATACGGGGTGTCCTCCCCTTCCATGCACCACCTACACTCCGGGTCGTCTCCAATGCCTAGCAAGCAAAGATGCCTCCTAAGCCTGCAATGTCCTGTGTAGGCCCCTGTTAGTGCTCTACACTCCCTTCTGGTCAGTCTAAGCAGCTCCCTGATCCGAGGAAGGGCGGGCCCATCCATCATAAGCCTCGCCTGCCTCATTCCCGGAGCAACTCTCCAGCCCCCCGCGGCCCGGTCTCTCGCCCAGGCTTCGAGAGCTCCCCGCCTCACACACGGGGCGATCCCCAAGCGGGGCTCTGGCCCTATATGCCTATGCGAGGAGCCCTCCCTGGCTAAGGCGTCCGCTGCCTCATTGCCCCGGATACCGGTGTGACCCGGGACCCAGACCAACGTGACCTTTCTCTCCTCAGCCACCCTCCTCAGTACCCCTTTGCACTCCTTTATCAACAAGGAGCGCGTACGCACTGACTTCAGCGCCATGAGTGCAGCCCTACTATCCGAGCAGAAGAAGACTCTCCTGCTTCCGTAGTTGAGCCGAAGCACCTCTCTGGCCGCCATCAATAAAGCGAAAATTTCCGCCTGAAACACAGTGCAGTACTGACCCAGAGGTATGTATGTATTTAAAATGTAATGCCACAAGATTATCTTTCGGATAAATAAAATTCATGTCAATCGAATAATCGAAAAAACATCGAAAAAAAAACACCCCTTAGAACAGTTGTTAGAAAATGTGCCAGTTAGGAATTATTTAAATTTAATTTGACTTCAAGATGGCGCACCTCCTCATAATGACCAACCGGTTACCGATTATCTAAAATAATAAAAATAGACTTTCGATAGGTAGGCAAGGAACTACCAAATGGCCTGCCAACAGCCTCGACCTGAATCCCTGGGACATTTTTTTGTGGGGATACTTAAAAAATAAAATTAATTATAATAGGAATTAAAGTTTACAAGTGATAAGGGAAAGATTTAATATCGTTTTACAAGACCTAAACAGAGAAAACCCTGATTTTATCACCTCGTGAAAGGAAATATTGTCTGATGCATAGAAAACAATATAAGTTTTGTGGAAAATGTGTAGCATTAATAATTATTGATATTTTTATTGTTTAAATAATATAACTGTATAATTTGGCGTTTTTCTTCCGCAGTATATAGAAATATCTTAAGTTATTTAACTTACGCAGCAGATCTTTAGTTTGAATTAGTTGTCTATTGTCCAGAAATCGAATGATAATTATTTTTAAACTGAAATATCTCAAATATCTTAAAAGCGGTTAAATGAAATGTCAATAAACCATATGTTCTTGAAATCAGGAAAAAAAGATCTACGATTTTATGGAATAATATATAGGGCATTCCATTAAAAAAATAATGACAGCTCACGATAATAGAGCAAAAATCTTCAAACTGTTGTATTTACATATATTTTTCTATCTGTCAAAATTAATCTTGTAGGTGGGTGTCAAAATATTATGAATTGCCGAGTACAATAAAATTAGGAAAATGTGATGAAAATTCTGAAACAGCAAAAAATAGAGATGCGGATAAATTTCCCAAGAAGTCTTCTTTCAATTTAGTCCATGATTTTGTATATGTACATATATATTGAAACTTTTGTTAGCATTAACTTTTATGAACCAATCGATGTTATTTTGTCTAAATTTCATTTAGGTATGTTAAACTGTTAAAAATTTAAAAAGAAAGATTTTTTGAGGCGCCCTCTCTTCTGACACATATCTATTAACAAAACTAACATTATTTTTCAATATTGCACTTACAGAGAGTTTTTAAAACACCCTGCATATTTGGCGCTTTCTATGTGGCATTTAATTATGCGTCAAGGTTAAATAACTAACATAACTCAACATTAGGGTGGGTCAAAAAAGCGATATATTTTTTTTGGATCTGAGACACAGAAACTAGGTACCAGTTAGCTCTAGCGCTTAACGTGCTTAACACGTATGAGCTCTTAATATTACTAGGAAGCTTATCCTCATTACAGTTTTGCATTTTCGATTTAGTCTCATATATAAATAATTATATCTGACCATCATTCATTATGCCAGTGTTATTAATACTTTTATGGGAAACTGAACGCTCTACCAACATGGTCACTGATACTTTTTGAGATTATTTATTATCTATTTCA